ACCCAATTATGTTAAATGCAGAGTAATTTCAAAAGAATTAGGTTTTATGGCTAAGATTTCCTAAGCAATTACTAAAATAAACAACCCAAACTGTTACATTTTTAAAAATGATTATTTCAAATTTCTTTTACTGAAGAAGAAAAAAATAGACAAAATTATCCAGAGCATAGAGCATAGATCATTTATTTTTCTCTTTCTTCCTTCTGTCTATCTGTCTGTCTCTGTCTGTCTGTCTGTCTGTCTGTCTCTCTCTCTCTCTCTCTCTCTCTCTCTTTTTGTGTGTGTGTGTGTGTTGTGTCTATCTGTCTCTGTTTGTCTGTCTCTTTGTGTGTGTATATATGTGTGTGTTGTGAGTCTGTGTGTCTGTCTGTCTCTCTCTTTCTCTCTCTTCTTTTTTTTCTTTTTTTCTTTAGTTTCTTCTCGCTTGTAGCCCAAGCTAGTATCAAACTCACTACGTAACCCAAACCAGCATTGAAATCTTGATCCTCCTGCCTTCATTTCCCAAGTGCTGGAATTATAGGAATAAGCCCTGGGCCCAGGCTTCGATACTTGGGTGTGGAACCCAGGGCTTCATGGCTGCTGATTAAGTTCTCTGCAAACTGAGCTGCAACCCAGTCCACATAATACATGTCTTCTTGTCTTCTTGCCATTGCTTTCAGAGACCAGGTCAATGTCCTCAGTTCCGTGATACGAGGTCACCTTAAGCTTTTTCAATCCCATGTTATGGCTTAGTAAAACGATAACAGAAACAAAATAAATATCTTTGCAAAATTCAGAACATAGTGGATAACCATATGCATGATAAATTTCTGAACATTAATGTTGAATCAGCATAAAATGCCCATATACATAGTGTGAATTAGCATGTGTTTTCATAGTTTATTAGTAACAGTGATTCATGATTCAGTTGCCTTCAGGAATAACCATAATTTAAACAGACCTAGCTATTTTGGGTTAGATATAGGAATTAAAAATCTTTTGAATTGTTCTACAATAGTCGTAGCTTTTCAAGGAGCACAACTAACAAGTGTTAATCTCTTGTGTTATTAGCCCATATAACCTATTTTTCTGATCATATTTAAATCATTACCTTTCTACACTTTGAGGCAAAATCTCATGTATTCCAGACTGCCTTCAAACTCTGCAACCAAAACAACTTTAAACTCAGATTCCCCTGCCTTCATCTCCCAAGTGCTAGAATAATAGACGAGGATAGGTTGATCTCATATTGGAAATTGAACCGAGAAGTTCATGTTTGTTAGGCCAGCACTCTGCCAGCTGTGCTATATTCCAAGTCTCTTAATGAGTACTGCCTTGAGTTGAAAACTTCATCACAAATTAACTCTCAGGCCACAAGAAAAGCATGGTCTTTCTTTCCTCACATTTATTCTCTTCTGAGAAAAAAGAGATCTGTCAAAGTCCAATGGAGTCCTCTGGTTCAATAGCTTTGTTTTTACATTTTTACTAAGAAGAGATTAAACTATTAGACATAGAGAGGGCAGGACAAAGAAGGCTGGTCAAGTATCAGAGAATTCTGTGGGATTTACATTATAGGTTAATAAACATCTTCTGTTTGAGGGAAATTAAAGAGATCCCTCTGTGGAATCGGAAGGTCGGCACTCCATTTTATCTTGATATGAAAGTTGAAGGTCAGATCTGAGATAATTAGTTGGAGCATTCCAGAGAAAAATAAACACTGCTCACCTATCTCAAAATAGCCAGGTTTTTATGCATAATTCTTATTGTCCCTGATGAGTTTGAAATCAAACCAGAAACAAAGTCTTTCAGCGTTCTGGTACAGACTGGCTAACTGTCACTCATTCATTTAATTTGGCTAAGACTTAGAGTAGGGATAAACAATATATCCTTAGTTCTAACTGCAAATTGCTTCTAGTCAAGCAGGCAGAGAAAGAGCAGCATTGGCAAGAGCCTTAAGAAAGAAGGAGATTTTTCCCCCTTCCTGTTAAGGGAGTTGAAGACGTTGTCTTAGTCTGATATGCTGTAACACAATACCACAAGCTGCATGACTCTGTTACTGGAGGACAGCATCTGACCCTAGTGTTTCCAGGTTCTTAGCCTCTGATCTAAAACTTCTCAATACGAGTTAAAATAGATTTTGTAAAAAGCAAAGTAATTTTATTTGATGCAAAGCAATAGTACGGATTAAAGACCTGTAACTGTGAAGATTAACTGGGAACCATATAAGGAAAGATACTTAAAGACCCAAGCAAGATACAATCCAGGGTCTCTTTGTATGTGGTGGAGGGAAAGAAGAGCTGATTTTCAAAAATTGTAGTTTCAGTGATTCTCTACTTTGATTGATAGATTACATAATCATTTCTCTACTGTGTATGTCCCTTCCCATGATGCCCACATCATTAAATCATGTGCATTCCCAATTATGCATAGGCATAAGATGATGAATGGCAGAATAATTTTCCCCAGAAAAACACTAGAGGACATAGATTTGCTTTGCTGCATGTGCACCCAAACCAGTTCTTTGTACCCAGATACGTCAGGAATATACTTGAATAGAAACTGTCCTAAATATGCTTGCTACCAAGAATGAAGAAGCCATGTCATTTTTCAAAGATGGGAAGCTTAACAGTGGTTCTCAGCCTGTGGGTTGAGACTCTTTGAGGGGGATGTCAAATGACCTTTTCACAGGAGTCACCTAAGACCATCAGAAAACATAGACAATATTTACATTACAATCCATTAAAGTAGCAAAATTATACTTATGAAGTAGCAGTGAAAATAATTTTACGGTTGAGGGGGTCACCACAGCATGAGGAACTGTGTTAGAGGGGGCACAGCATTAGGAAGGCTGAGAATCCCTATCTTAGAGTCAAATGCACGTGTTGTTTTCAGAAACTCTCAGTCTGCTACGTGCATTGTTTGGAGAGGGGTGTATTTGCAGAATGCTTGTCAGTGAAAGCAGCATGCTGCCCAGTACATTATTATGAAGAAATGGAGTACATAGCCCAAAGCCCTAAGAGAGTACCAGGGCTCTAAAATGCTTCCTGTGCTTGTTGGCCTCAACGGAACCTTATTTCCTCGAAGTTCTAGATTGTTTGTATCCAGGGTCAAGTTGCTAACAGGGTCTTTCTCTTTGTCACACAGTCTTTCCTCTGGTTACAAGGAGGGGAGCCCTTTGGTGAAGTCCTACTGGATCAAGGCTTCATTTTTACAACCACATTTAAACCTCATTTTGCTGCCTCCCCAAAGGCTTCATTTCCAGCTACAGATACATAGGGGTGAGCACCTCGGGGTGTGAATTTTGAATCCTCATCAAAGCTAATCAAGAGACTACTTTTTTTTTCTTCTAATGCACTCTCGCCTGAAAGCTCCCTCTGTAACACAGATCCAATTACAGGTGTCCAATTTATAGACAGCCCTGCAAGAGGTAAACAAGACCAGCATTCTTCTGGGATCCCAGCTACTACCTTCACTGGTGAACAATGAGACTCTCAGATTCCAACTGCGGAACCATACCACTGGGTCTCAGAGTCATTAATGGAAACCAGAAGCAGCATAGTCTGGGCTCTGTTATTCTTGCAATTATTCTTCAACCACTGTCCTATAACATAATGTTCAGATTCAAGTTCACTGGTATAATCAATTGCTAAGTACAGAAGTACTTTATTAATTTTATTTTAAAAACCATTTTATTATATGTATACATATGTGTATATGTATACATGTATATTGGGTCCCCTTGGAACTGGAGTTAGTCAGTTGTGAGCCAATACACATGGTTAGGAATTGCACTTAGATCCTCTGGAATAGCAGTAATACTTTTTAAACACTGAGTCATCTCTCTAACTCCAGAAGTATTTTCTTTAAAGAAGAAAATTCCGTGAATTTCCACAGACTAGAAAAATCATGGGCATTTTATCAAGAATCCAAGAGCAAGATAGAATCACTTATGAAAAGTCTTGTTGAAGGCTTGGAATGTAGCTCAACAGAATCCTTGTCTAACATCTATAAAATCCTATGTTTTATCGACAGCACAGCATAAACCAAGCATGATGATACCGTAATCTCAGATTTGGGAGGTAAAAGTAAATGGCTTAGACGTTCAAGGTCATCCTGGCCTGCACAGTGAGTTTGAGGCCATCTTGCTCTACATAGGAACCTGTCTCCACAAACAAAAGTCCTGTTGCCATGCATGAATCCCAGCATTTAGGAGATTGAGGACCATCTAGGATACGTAGTGAAACTGAGGCAAGCCTGAGCTACAAAACAACTCTCTCAAAGGCCACACAGTAAAGAAAACAAGTCCAGTTAATTAGAGCTTGAATTGACATCTAGTAAAAGGATCTCTGCCTCGCAGGCGTATTGCCTCTCCAGCCTTAATAGCAGATAGTTCTAGGACCCAACTGCAGCCGTTTTGCAGAGTGGTTGGCTAATGTCCTGGAATGCAGCCTGTTCCATGAATTTTCCCTCTGAGCAAACAAGCTGGCTCTAGAGGGAATCACACACACTCAGTCATTCCCATTAGCAACCCCAAACAAGCAAGTAGCTTCACCTAAACAGCAGGAAGGATGGTTATTTTTAAATGTGCCCCATTTGACATGTTTCACAATTTGTGATTTCTCAATAAGAAGAATTGTACGACTATTGGAATTCTAGGCGAATTCAGAAACAGACACACCAAGGTAAGGAGTGCTTCAGAAATGAAGGGAAGTAGGAAGTTCTTATTTATAGGGTTCTATCCCAGTTTTATAAGGTGTTATTGAGATGGAGTTAGATTCAGTATGGTGGTGGGACGTCAATCCGACATATCTCTGTGAATTTCAGCCTGGTCCATGTAGAGTGTTCTAGGCTAGACATAACTCCTGAGTGAGACACTGTCTCAAAAGAACAAAACAAATAACAACAAATACACATTATATTTAGAAACTGTGACCTTTGGTGATTATCAGAGGAATTTATTAGACATTTTTTCTCTCAACATGTTTGGCTCTCGGAATGTCTCCTGATCAGTCCACCCAAAGGAATATAGTAAGTCAGGGAGGCAGAAGTTTCCTGGTTTCCCATAATGTCCTTCTGGGGGCAGCAGTGAAGATCCACTGTCCCTTTCTTGTGTGGGTAGCTCCTGCTGAGTCAGTTTGTCAGCATGACATCGCTGAAAATTCCACAGCCTTGTGTGTTTATACCCTCTCCAGATACCAATGGTGAGTATCCCTCCAGTGCACCCCCCTTGTAAGCTGCCTCCAGCACAGTGTTCCTGGTCTACATTCATCCTCCATGTGACCTAGGTTTAGAAAACACACACACACACACACACACACACACACACACACACACACACGCTCACTTGAAACTCTCAGATAAAAATGCTTCAGGCTAACAATGACGTTATTGGCAATTAAGTGTTGCTTTTCAAAAACATTAATAATAAGGAAGCACACATTAATGCTATCCATCGCTGAATGGGGGAGGGGAGATCTTCAGTCGTCAGGGCGGGCGCATGCTTATGCAACATTGCCATTTTTTCTGGGGTATATCTGAAGTCAGCAGTTCTTACAGACTGAAGGAGCTGATTCTTAATGCATAGTATTATTTCATAATTAAATTTTAACTTTTCAACATACCAAAGTACTGACAGGTCAGTGTGATAGTCACCCCTGCTTGAAAAAGACACAGGTAGTAAACTGAAGGAAGTATTATTTCCCTGTGAGAGTCATTACTTGGACAACTCTTTTCATCTGGAAACCAGGAAGTGAGTCAGCTTCACTAACTTCAATCTCCTGGCTGCTGCTTTGTTATTCATCAAGAATAGGAACCTCTTTTTTTTTTTTTAACTTCCCTACGGAAACTGGTATATCCAAGCAGGCAGGTCACTTGTTGAAATCTCCTCTTCAAGATATCTACAGGTTCTGTTGTCAATGATCTTAACAGCCTTGGATTGGAAAGGTGCCTGGCTGATCACAAGACTGTGACTCACCGGAGTTAGCTAAACACAAAGCCCAACTGACAAAATCCATGAGGTCATTCCCTTTCTGTGTGTCTTTAGCATAGTTTAGATACAGAAGTCCTTGGGTAATATGCAAAGCTTTCAAATCAAAGGAACGTGCCTGCAATGCTAGAGAAAGAAAACGCTCAGTGTTGTGTCTTAATGACAAAGGCAATGCAGGCTCCAGGATTCTGGGCTTGAGGTATTTGCTGATACAAAGTACTCCACAAAGTTTTACAATGTATAAACTAGCCACTAAGGCTGGTTAAAGTTTAACTCAACTGCAATATTTTGGACTTAAGTAACTCCTGAGGAATGCCAAGTTTGGTAGTGCTGAAAAAAAATCAGCAAGTCCTAACAACTGTTTCCACCAAAAGAAGGCTCAGAAGAATGTTTAAAGTGTTTCAAAATATGAAAGTTTCTTGTGTGCAGGGGAGGGGGGGGAATGTGATCATCAGTACCTTCTGGTCTTCTCTCTTGTCTCTCATATTTTTTTAAGACACAAACATTACTTTTACTGTGAATAACAACAAAGACGAATGTCAAACGGCAATCCATTTTTTCTAAGAATGATCCATAAAGGGCAAAACTATGAAAAGCAAAATGGACCAAGTCACCTGACCTTACCTCTGTGTTGAGATGTAATGTCAGGAAGACAGCACAAAAGGATGAGGTCATTGTTTACCTAACCCCTACTGGTCCTGAAAGAGTAAGTGCAAAGGAGCCTTCCACAGGCAGTGACAGAGGTACCAATCACTCCTAAGAAACCGGATCACTCATTTTAGCAAAACTCCAGCCAATGACAAAGAACGGGCAATTAATTATATGGACCTTACTGTTGTTCTGGATGAATTTAGTGTGTGTGGGGGGTGGGGGGAGATGGGGGTGCGGGCCGAGGCAAGGGTCGAGGCAGGGGTCGAGGCAGGGGTCGAGGCAGGGGTGTTTCATTTGGGAAAGGTTTAGGCTCATGTGATGAAGCGATGTTGCTTTCAAATTGAGCAAATCATTGTTTAACTTCCTTTTTCCAGGACTGCTTGTTCACTTCTGGGAAATCTTAAGAAAACACAGAAGCATTGTTGAACTCAAAAGCGGAAGTCAAGGATTTGAAATGTGATGGTACATCCTGCTCTCTCGGCCCCAGTAGAGGCAGCAGGATTTGAAGAAACGTCTCCTGTACTCTTTGAAACTTCATGTTTCCTTACATCTTATTTTAAAAATCTATCTGCCATTCAAGATTATGTTTCCAAGATTGTTTTCCAGCCTTTTTATTAAGGCTGCCATAAAACAAGAATGTCTGCCTTTCCAGTAACCCAAATAGTCTTAAATACTCTGGTCTCCTCAGTTTGTGGGGGTGGGGGGTGGAAGTGGAGGTGGTGTGTGTGTGTGTGTGTGTGTGTGTGTGTGTGTAGACACACATGTGTGTTTACATGTAGAAGACAGAGGACAACCTCAGGTTTTTGATCCCAGGTATTAAACACCTTTGAAACCTTTGAGACAGTTTCTCAATGGGTCCTTGACTCATCATTTAGGCTAGGCTGGCTGACCAGCAAGACCAAGGGTTCATTCTTTCTCTATCTCCCTAGCATAGAAATGGCAGGAGTGGACCACCATGCTTGACTCTTTATATGGTTTCTTGGAATCAAAATGAGGTCATCATGCTTGTTTGGCAGGTATACACTGAGATACCTCTTAGGACTCAGCATCTTTTTATGCTAGTCCTGTACCATCAAGTAGATGGTTTATCCTGTTCTTATTCTTCCATATTCCATATTTCCCCCTATGAAGACCTGTTTGTCAAAATTCTAACACAAGTACTTGTGACTTACATCCCTCTCAAGTACATTAACAAGACAGAAGATGCAACAGTTCTTTAAACAATTAAAAAATAAGTAGCCTCGTATGTGGAGGCAGAGGTCTCTTCCCAGAGACCAAGTGGCTTAAAGAGTGTGTGTTATTCAGCTTCTTTATTCACATATACATTTTTCATAATCAAAATGTAATTAAAAATTGGACAGGTAATTTTTC